ATATATATATATATATATATATATATATATATATATATATATATATGTATATATATATATATATTATTTTTTGTAAAATAAACTGTAAACTTATTTTTGGGGCACTTGCTTTGTAAAAGCTTCACTTGTGGAAAAGAAGCAGGTCTAAGGCATTTCTGATCTACATCAAGATGTCTCATTCATCTCTCCTTTACTGGAATACGCCACTTTCAGACTCCATTTTGCCTATATTCTATTGATTTGTACTTAATGGATACACATTGTACTCGTTGCATCTCCTGATCTGATATCCATTCACTAAAGCAGAGCGGGCCCCTACATCTACAGACTATCCCTGGTCCATCACGTGAGACATTAGTGCAGAGCACAGAGAGTGATATGGATGAAAGTGCCAACGAGCATGCAGCTGCTCGACACATTCCTCTGAGCGGGAAAAACACCAACAAGTTCAAGAAAGTCTCAAAAAAGAGACTTATAGACTCATCACAGTTCACTGCTCTTGAGTAGCCCAGTTTTTAAAATTTGATAGAAAATATAAACTAAAGTAAATTACCAACAAAGAATACTTTTTTTTTTTTACCAATAAACCAACAGAGTGGAAAACATGCAAAGATCCAGTCCAGTTTCTGTATGAACAGTCATGAACATTTGTCACACTCCCTCAGAATTACAGTACAAGCCACACATTTGTTACATTTTATAAAAATAAAAATAAACAACTCCCAAATAAACACCTAACCCCAGTGAAGCTTTCAGGCCCAAAACTTACCTGTTGCACGTTCAGCCAGGTTGATTGAACACATGCAGTCCAGGGTACATTAGTCTGATCAGTCTTCTCCAATAACACACAGAACTCCACCTATAGAGCCAGCTCTCTTCTCTACAGCCAGTAATGACTACTTGATCATTTCTCTGTGTTGGGTTTATTTTCACAGCCACTCTGGTCATTTTTACTGTCTGCAGGCAGTACCTGTCTGGTCCGCTCCCGCAGGTCTTTATCTTCATAATGTGGGTGGTTGGTGAGAACTCTGCCTGTGCACAGCTTAATGCCGGCCAGGAGCTGCATGCTTCCAGCAAACACTGCGTGCTTGGGGGTCTTTGTGCTACGGACAAAAAGAACAGAAAGAGTTGGTCACTCCTATGAATATTCTGATTATGTAATGCAGAGATGGGCTTTTAATCAACTTCAATTTGTTGAGAGCTTTCTGGAAGTAAACAACACAAAAACAAAAAAATGTATATACTGTAGATCCATCTAGTCATCAGAAATGTTTGGCTGAGTTTGACAGTTTTTTTATTTTTTTAACTCTGTTATTGGGCCCATTATCTGCCGTTATAAATAAGGCCATGATGACATTTTAAAGATTTTCAGCAACATGGTTTAAAAAAAACAAAAAAACATCTACATCAAGAGCAAATGAAAAAGTGCACTTTACACAGGAAAAAAAAACCCGCAGTCCTAGAGGTGAAGAAAAGACATTACATCCCAAGTGCCAGTGTCTGGAATTTATACTAATAAGTCAAATGAAAATGTACTTTTAACATTTTTAACAAGCCACACATTGTGGCTGATCACAAACATGCTGGTTTCTACATTCACGTTTCCTTTTTTTAAATCCCGTCTTAAACAGGAAATAAAATGTGTTTACTGAAAAGAAGAAAAAAAGTAAAGTTCATAATGCTAACATTTTCATTTTTAAACATGTTTAAAAATGTGTCGCTGCCTTGCCATCGTGGTTAAGTGTCCCTCATTTGTGCTGCATGCTTTGGTATGTCTTGTTAATTTTTGGAAAGTCGAGACTGTGCTTCCTGAGCATTTCATTTCATTGTTGACCATGTGTTGATCTGCATATGACAAAGCCAACAAAACTTGAAGTTTATCCACTTGGCATAGCTAACTATTTTTCCAAACTATTTCAAATCCATCATTTGACGGAAGAAAAGAGACTACTGGGTATTCATGAGTTGAAAACATTCAAGCAAAGATCATCTTTCCACGAGTGTACGTCTCATCATTCTTTGTTGAAATCAGGTCTCTCTTGTAAATGAGTCCGCGAGGCTCAATGGGATTAACCTGTCTAAATAAAGGTTGAATGAATTATGTAAAAAAATATATATTTTTCTTTTTTAAACGGCATGGCAGCAGAGCTTAGGTTTGCAAAGTTTATCTGAATGAAACACAGAACTTTTAAACATGATATTGTATTAGATATGTATTTGCTATTTGTACACTAACAAAACAGCATGAGTGCATAGAGTGTTGTAGCTTATAACTGTTCCAGTGGGGGAAAAGAACAAGTAACAAAGGGCAAACAATAACAAAAGCACTAAAAGTTGAAGTAGTACACAAAGACTATGACTACTGCACAAGTGAGGTACAAACTAATAAAGAAACAGACAAGCTGCTTTTCATTTAGAAATGTTTGTGTCCATGTATTTTTCCATCAGTCTGATTGATGATGGAAAGAAACAGTTGTAAAAGTGTGCTTTGTGTGATACAGTCGGGGCTGATGTGTCTCAGGTTGCATTTTGAGTGTTTATACCTGAGCAGAGAATGAGCTGAGTGGCGAGTGCCTTTGAGGGTATTCTGTGCTTTTTTCCGGCAATCTTGTGTAGAGGGCGTCTATGGATGGCAGGTCAACGCCAATGATCCTCTCTGCTGTCTTGATGACTTTTTGAAGAGCCTCTTTCTCTCTGCATGAGTAGTACTGCCAAACTAGACAGCACTGCCATTTGAGTAAATGTTCTCCTTACGTTCTCTGAGTGAGTAGATGGTAGCAGTGTGTTGCTTTCTTTAGCAGTCTGATGAAGTAAAGCCTGCTGCGGATAAGGTTGCTGTCATCTCTATTGGTGAGGATATTGTTGATTGATAATTTCTCTCTAGCTTAATTTGTCCTCACCCAAGACAAAGTCTAAGATGGTTTATCTACAGCTTAAAGAGGATAGTACTCCTGGGTGGAGACCCAGACATGGATGGATAGAGCCAGGTTCTCACTATGCTACTGCCAAGACACTATTTAGAATATTTTGTTGTGGAAGAATGATAAGAAAATCTTTGATTGTGGGCTTGAATCAGCTGTCTGTGGTGGTTCAGTGCCACAGGCTCACCAACAGCTTGTTTAATGCTCTCATAACCCACAAAAAATATAAAGCCATGTCAGAAACTTATTGGGAAAAAAAAAAAAAAAAAACTAAACTTGTGCAGTGTGACTGTTGCTATAGCCAAAGAGTTTCACAGCCATAAGTGGGTCCACACGCTTTCTTTATTCTGTGCTTTTTTAAGAGTCTGAAGTTAATAGAAGTTAATGGCACAGGAGCTGCACAGCTAGAGAGAGGAAAGCTTTGCAGAAAGTGGTGAAGGTTGCACAGAAGACTGTTGGAGTCAGCCTCCCCACCATCATGGACATCTACACCTCCAGATGCAGGAAGAGAGCCACTTGCATCATGAAGGACCCCACTCACCCAGCACACACTTTTTATCCTGCTCTCCTCAGGCAGGAGTTTGCAAAGCATCAAAGGCTGTCACATACTTGGGTGTACTTCACACCGCAGAGGTCCACGCATACCGGATTAGACTCAACGTGGTCTCAAAGTGGACGACCACAAGCTATGTCCGCGCAAAGATACATTTTTCAGAATGCGTACATGTACTCGGTGTTGCACAATAAACTGCCCAGTGACAGACTGTTTGGTATGCAACACCAATGTATTAAATTCCCCTTCTTCATCCCTGGTCTGGTTTAATGGCCTTTTCTTTTTTTTTGCCAAGAGGCAAGCAATCTCTTCCTCCTCGTTCGTTGTTGCCATGATTGAAATTGTGAGAAATGAAGGAATTTGTTGAGAGAATTAAAATCAGGCCCAGCGTGACTGTGGGAGGGTCTAGAGATTTCCTGGTGAGCTGGTGTTATGTGTGGGCTGAAGGGCTAGCATGCCCTGGGTTTTTTTTGTGTTTTTTTTTAGAACTTTTTGTTAACAACATATGAATACAGAACATTGCTGCGGCTGGGCTACCAGCTTCCTTTCCGGCAGCTCTCGTGTTTTTTTTGTGATCTGTCAATCAATCCAGTAGGCATTTCAGCAAATGACCAGTAGGCTACCTCACTTTGTCCCAAAGGTAAACGCTCCTTGCCTGCAGCGCTGGGCTGCAACCCATCAGGGTGTACGCTAGAGTATGAAGTCTCAACTGTCTGCGGAAAGTGTGCGCAGTGTCCACGAGGCTCACGGAGTACACACAGTACGCCCGAGTATGTGGGAGCCTTAAGTGTCGAACCACTGGACTGAGGAACAGCTTCTACCCTGAAGCTGTTACACTCATAAACCCCTAACCAGCAAAATCACTGTAATGCCATTTTAATTGGAGATTTGACACTTTACCTGTGCTGCTGATTATTCATGCTGCTGATTTCTTACCCACAAGCTGTTGTATTCATACCCATCTGCTCACAACAGACTCCTGTTCAGGCTGCTGTTTAATACACCTTATTTTTATTATATTATTATTATTGTTTAGCGTATATCTTAGATCCTTGTATACAGCTTATTTTTTTATAAGATTTTTTTTCTATTTTTGGGTGTAACCGGGACCTTGGGTACACAATTTTTTTTCCCACCTCATGTACCACATGTGATGTGAATGACAATAAAGAACCTTGAACCTTAATAAGAGTTAATGCCAGCAGTAGCTGTTCCCTCATTGTTCAATAGGTATTTCTGATTCTGTCAGATATCTGTGATGTGCACAGTTCTGCTGTGGAACAAAAATCATACAGTCTGGCATCGATTTAATTTTACATCATACTATTTGAGCTCACAGTGCTGCTTGTACAAGTTCTTTACAATTTTTGAGATCATTTAGTGTGTGGTAGCCTTAAGGTAAATAATTTGGAGCTGGGGCAGAAGCCCTGTGATGTTCGTGAGCCGACTTCAAGCCTAAGAGAAACCTTTCCTTCGATTCTCACCATCTGTAGTCTGCTGGTTCGAAAGCTCAAAATGTCTTCACAGGTGGGAGTTGAAAATCCAAGGTCTGCCAGCTTCATATCAGCTTCTGTTTAAATGGTACTGAAAGCAATAACAACTTCATTTGACTGCTCCCTTTAGGGTCCGCCACAGCAAATCTTCAGCCTCATTTTCACCGTATTCCTAACTTTCTCCACTGTCGCACCAACCCTCTGCACATCCTCCTTCACTACATCCATAAACCTTACCCAAACCTCCTTTTTTCCTTGTCCCCAGCAGTTCCATTAGCTAGCAACCCTCGTCTTCACACGTCCAGACTATCCCGGTCTTGCCTTTCTAATCTCGTCTTAAAAGCACTCAGCCTGAGCTGTCCGTCTGATTTATTACTGCATCGTGCAACCTATTGGAACGATAGCCAAAGTCTAGGGGATCAGTGTGGTTTGGTAGCACAGAGTTAATCTCTAGTGGTACTAGTTTCTCTAGGCACTTCATGGCAGCTGAAGTTCTTACCACTGGCTTAAAGTATTTCAGATCACAAGTATCTGATTTGTACCTGATTTTGGGACATGAGGTGATTCTATAGAATGTTTAATTATAGGAGTACTGCTCAAGTAAAAAACATTTTAAAGATGTTTGTGTACAGGCAGGCAGACTAAATTCATGTCACAATAACTTTGTTATTGTTGTCTGTACTTTATATGTTCGGACTGGAACAGGTCTCTCTTGTAAATGAGTCCTCATGGCTCAAGGAGACTAGCCTGTGTAAATAAAGGTTGAATGAAAAAAAAGTGTTATATAGTTATCTTAGGTTGTATTTGCCTCATTTTAGGACATGCTGAAGAGCAAATTATTTATTGTATCATGTATTTTTACAGAAGAATGAGCAATCAGGATGTCTTTACTTTGTAACCATACTTGCTCTTTGTACTCATAAATAAAAATGATGGGATTATGTATACTTCCTTTTCACAAAGTGTTACGTAATGAGATGATTTTTTTGGAAAACCTCTAAATCATAATAGATAAAATGTTCATTCCTACAAATGTGTGTGTGTATGGGGGGGGGGGGGGTGTTGTCATTTAAGTTACATTTTTGCTAGCTTCTCCTGATACTTAAGTTTCTTTCAGAAATACCTTGTTTAAATCT